GGAATCTGGAATAAACGCTTTTTCAAAAATCTCTTGTTTTTTTCTTCAATTTAACTCTTTTCCTCCGCTTTTTTTGTGTATCCGTTAGGATTTCTTTCTGTCTACGACGTAGACAACCCGAGCTTACTTGAAAATTGCGTTTCTTTTTACCCTGTTCTCTTTCAGTGTTTTCGCATCGAACTTTCTGTAGCTTGGACGATACTTGCTCAGAATGATGAGCGGAAGAATCCAGACAACGTTGTAGGATACGAAACAACTATGCGGGGGTGAAAATTCATAGGACATCAAAAATCAGATTGGTGCCGATGTGCAACTTATCTTTTCTGACGTGTTTAACATGTTCAATTCAATTGCTGAGAAGTTTTTCTTTGTTTCGTCTCCCAACTACCACCACAACTAAACAGCGCTTTTTCTAATTGGAAAAACTTTGTTCTTGTTGCCATCCACTTTAACCGGCAATCCTGAAGAGAAAACTGTGCCTAGGAAACCACCAAGTTAAAGTTTCAAGTTTGGTGATGTGCTAACCTCTGCTTTACATGAATTTTTCAAGTTTCCTGGTTTAATTCGCATCTAAATTTCTACCTAATTTTCTGAAACAACCTTCACTTATAGGGGCAGAATCTCAAACTACTACCACTTTCTAGGCTCTGTCTTTTGACTATCGAATGTATGGCTATGACCAAGATAGCTCAAAATCTTTGCTGGAATCTGCTCTATGAGTGTCGTTACAGACAGTCAGACAACAACACAAAAATAGTAAACCAACTTTTAGCCCAATATTATAAATTGGAGAACTATATCCAGCAAGAACAGAATGGCTAAGCTACACGCATTCAAAAAACAAACAAACAATAACTATGCCCGTAGTAAACCCCACTTCACTTCCGATGATCTCAACTGAGGGGCTGAGTTGAGGTATTTAATATAGTTGAGCTGAACGAAAATTTTTTTCGAATGAACGAATTTCGAATAATCCAATTTCAAAAATTATTCGAACGAACGAATATTATTCGAATTGTGATTTTTGAATTATTCGAACTCGAATAATCGAATATTGATTTTCAAGAATTCGACTATTCGAATAATCGAATATTTGGACGTGACCGAATATTCGACTATTCGAATAATCGAATAATCAGATTTGACCGAATATTCGACTATTCGAATAATCGAATAATCAGGCATGACCGAATATTCGACTATTCGAATAATCGAATAATCAGGCATGACCGAATATTCGACTATTCGAATAATTCGAATGAATCTGGTCTTTGATGAACTCAGTCCGAATGTCCTTCTGTGGCAGCATTTTGCAACAGATGTGTCTCGCTATTTCCATGGTGGATTGAGTAAAACCAAGTATTGTGGATGCTAGAAACCTAATCAACGAGCGTTAAAACGGAGGCAGGATGATAGCTAGATTACCTTGTCAACTCAGTCATAAGCTTGATGCAAAAAGTATGATGCCAGTAACTGTAGCATGCTATTAGTCAGCAATAACTATGTAGATACCATAGAGCTTCAGTGCAAGAAAAAGCAAACGGTAAAATAGCAATCTGATGAAGTGTAAAGCACCGCTAAAGTTACCGTTGTTACAACTTCCCCCATATTAGAGGCTCCGAAGAGTGAAGGGGTCGTTCAGAAGTCGACAAGGGGAGGCGACCGGTAGAAAGTTAAGTTCTGTCGGTTCGAATATTCGAACATACGAATAAGTCGGTTGCAAATAATCGAACATTCGAATAAGTCCTTTTTTTATTGCGTCGAATATTCGAATATTCGAGTATTGGTTTTTCCCAACGTATCGAACATTCGAATATTCGAATGCGCCGTTTTTCCAAACGGGCGAATGAACGAATATTCGAATAATTGTCTTTTTTGTATATTCGACTATTCGAACAGTCGAATAATTGCGTTTCTTTTAAACATTCGACTATTCGAATATTCGAATAGTCGAATTTTTCGAATAAATTATTCGAACTTGAATATTCGGACTCAACTATAGTATTTAACCCTATCAGACGTAAGTTTCTGCGAGTGAGCCGAAAGCCTCTCTCCTATTGTTTTTTACTTATTACCATATGAATAACATTATAGCGGAGTTTGAAATCTGCTCAACCTAAACTACTTCTTTTTGATTTCTTAATTTTTTGGTTTTGGGTTTATTTTGGATTTTCAAATCTCCCGCGATACATGTGGACCCGCAAACAGCAGTTACATTTACTCAACATCGTAAAACATTATGATAATATTATGAATATTTATTGGCTAATAAACGAGATACTGAAACGTTGCTCAAGCCGGGGCAAATTATTGATTGGTTGAAATCCACTTGTACACAGAAATGTACATATTGCTGACAGAAAAGCAAATGACCCGGTCTCGAAGCTACATTTGGAAGGCAAAGGTTATATGAAGCGTTTGAGAGCAATGAGTAGTGAAATGATGTTCTTGCGCCAATATAGTAGATCTCTGAATTGATGATGGCAATTGCCACCACCAGGTCCGAAATGGTCAAGATAAACTGACCAGCGGCCACTCTCACATGCTCAAGAATGCGACCTGATCTGACGGGTGAGCGTCAAGGCAAGTGCCGCGATGAATTCTCCTGAAATCCTTAAGAGCAGCGTTGATTTTGAGATGAATCCACCGAAATAATGTGCAAAGGATAAGACGCAGAGAAAAATTCCGTAAGTTGCTCGTGAGTAACTTACGGGACATTTTACTTGACGTATTGTTGCAGTATAATAACGCGCAAAACTGCATAATACCGGTGCCCGAAAAGGAAAGGATCAATGAACAGCTGATTTCGGCAAGAAAACAAGAAAATAGGTTTTCTCCTTTTTGCAGAGTTTGCTTAGGCTACTTAGAGCGAGAATCTCTTTGTTTATTTCCATTCGATTTTGTCCCTACTTCCTCAATTCTTTACGAAATCTTGGTTAAAAAAACGCAGTTTTGTTTTGTGCATTCTTTTGGGTTGTGAAGTCCTTAATAGCGGCCGTCATCGATTTTTTTTCGATGGCGGTCGCTACCGAAGATTGCTCAGTGATGAAAAAATTTTGCACTGGCCGGCGCCGAACCACGTTCGTGCGGGCTAAATCAATAATATACCCGTTTGACCAAACCCGCACATGCGATGTATCGTCTGCGCCCCAGAGAGGTTCCCATAGGTACCACGTCATCTCGCTGCCTTTCGCACTTTTGAACGTGTTAACCTCGGGCACTTCCGTTGAAATCTCAGGAGAAACATGTCAAAAAGAGCGAAAGGCAGCGTCCCACGTACGCACGCTGGTTCACATGGGAACCTCTCTGGGGTGCAGACGGTAGGTGTTTCCTCTTTGATAGCGCTCAAGATTTTTATACCTGAAAAGCGATCCGCATCTAGATCAATGACTTGCCGGATCCTCGAGTGAGGCGCCCCACGATCAACTCAGTCTGCCTCAGGGTAGATCCCCTGAGGGGGGTTTTTACTCCCCCTTCCGGAGAACCGGCAGGGTGGGTTCTCCGAACGGTGATTGGATAGGTGATTACGGGTGTTGGCGGGCATTAGTGGAGGGGGCGTTGCCAAGTAAGGGTACTCCGCTCCTTCGTTGTTCTGAAGCAATTTTCCCGCTCTCGTACCGACATTTTACGCAGCCACTTGGGCATTGCCTTGATAGGGAGCCATACTTTTGTATGTGGAGAAAAACGCAGAAGCCCTAATTTAGGGTGGACGGTGCCTTTAATAGCACGTTCGATGATGTAGATTGCATATTTGTATCGTCGTCTCCCCGGCGTACGTTGGGCGGAGCTTTTGCGGACATTTCAACACGATTATGAACTTGTCAAGCCTCTACTTCAAAGCATGGTTCTTTGTACTCTCTAACCTGCCACGTTTATATGCTGTTGTCACACGTGGCAGCGTTGGTAGCGAGAGATCACAAAAAACAATGCCTCGTAGTAGAGGGTTAACAAGTTCACCAACGTGTTGAATGTCCGCAAAAGCTCCGCCCAACGTACACCGGGGAGACGACGATACTATGTGTAGAAAAGCCAAACCTCGTCATCTTGAATACCCCTCCAATCGTCTTATAGCTCGATAGACCGTCTTCTTTCTCTTGCACAGTTCTGAAATTTTAAACGCTCATTAAAGTGCCTCAATTCAAGCAGATATAGTAACGGCAAGTGAGTGATGGTAGTTTGCTACAAAGAAATTCCAAATTTTCTCGATTTCCCATGCATCGTTAGGTTTGACTTTGAAACAGACTATTCATTCACGTCGCCTCGTCACACTGAGTCAGCATGTAGTGACGTTTACTAATTTCGGAGGGATATCGTTCGCGAAGCAAAAATAACGCAACTACCGGTCACACTTTCATTCCCCTATAACCTCGTTTTGTGCAAAAGGGATTTGGAGGTGAGCGCCTCCTTTCACGCGCTTCTCCTCGTATCAATGTTGTCCTTGTAGAATAAGTGGTGCTTATCGAAGTCGCTAAATGGCTCGGACCACATTTTATATGCGTGAACCTCTGTTTAAAAATGCGTAACATTTTTGAATTTATCACCTACATTCAAACAATCTAGTTTCGAGCAAATACGGTGACACGTATTGCTACCGCTATCTCAATACACTGTAATGAGTTCTGGCCAGTAGAGCATTGCAGACGGACGCGGAGCTAATTTATAGGCCAAATAGATGCACGTTTCTAACCGGAATTGCGCGCGGTTGGGAAAGCTAATACTAAGGAAGTTACAGGTCTTTGAAGATATAACCATTTTACAAGCAAAACAATGTTTCAGTCTGTATCTCAGCGCTTTATCCTATTATATTTTTCACTACTCTAACAATCGCTTCAGAAGAAGAAAGCGGAATGAAGGTTTTCTGATTATAAAGTGAAAGTTATTTGGTTAGTATAGTTTTTGCAGGAATATTTGATAGTCATGGGATTCAGAAGGGAGTTGCTCTCTCTATCAAGTGTCATCTTCGCATTTTTCAAAGCTTTTAGCGTTATGATTCTTTTTGGAGCAGTATTGTTTAGAAACTTCTCTGTATATTTATTTTAATTTAGAGGTTGAAAAAGGACTGCAACTTTTAGGGCATGCTATCTACAGTGTTTCCAACGTTGCTGCTGTGCATTGGTGCGGCTGCAACGGGATTACTATGCGCGAGAGTAGTAAAGACAACTACTGCTGCAATGATAGGTATGTCATTATGGACTTGGTGAGCCAAACCTTTGCTTTACTTCTAATCATATTTAGTGGTTTCCTTGGCTCTCGCGATGCTGTATCTCGTACATGGTTTTCTCTCTACAAATATTTTTGAAAGGAATTGTTTGCATTACATTTATCTTTTCAATATTTTATCAGCATACGGGAACTATCTATCCGCTATGCGGCTTTATTATGTCCGAGGTTACATTACTTTTTACTTCAGAGTAAATACGGGCTAGAAGCCTGATTAAAACCTCAATTAATTTTGACTAACTACTTTTTTATAGAGCAAAAATTGAGACATTGCTTTAGCCGCATTAAATCAACCTTTGCTTTCTTACAACTGAAATAATGCAAGAAAAAGGGTTAAGAACAACGATAGCTTTGTCAGCCGCTAGCTGCCAGCTTGTCGCACGCAGATCAGACCACCTTCCTTCTTTCAAGAGCGGAGAGGAAATAATTGGACTGCATATTAGCATTGAGTTTCATTTCCTATTAGGCTGTTGCATAAGTTCTGTCCGATTTGAAATTTTTGAATTCAAAATGTCATAACTTCTTTCAAAGTCAGCTTTTTCCCAAAATTTTATTTTCTGTTTGTTGAGCAATTCCTTGGTTATCAGACACATATTGAAACCTGTGGAAATTCGTGTTAAGGAAGAAGCAAGAACTCGAAAACTTTACAGCGTTTTTCTTCAAACCTTTCTTATTTGACATGGCAGTGCTCCCTTATTAGAATTGATAGGCTTGTCTAACAATGAATAAATAGAGAATTTTTCGTAGGTTATTATGCACCATAAAAGAGCCCGTAGGGTCTGCGTTCGAGAGATTTTTTGACCGAACAAAAAATTGGCCACTTTTTCACCTCGCTTCAGCGCGTGTGTGCATGCCTATTTACAAATTACGAAAATTTTACAGTTGCTTTAAGCGCCGAAAAAAATTGGTGGATGGTCTTTGCTAGCCCTTGCTTTACGCTAGCACCTCCAACTTGAAGTCGTCGATTACTTCTAATTACAGAAAGTTATAGCTTGTAAAACATTTATACAGAAAATTGATGTTTGACAATAAATTTGACTAGCAAGACGTTTTCTTCATGAAACTGAACTTATGCGTATGCTAGCCTATTACATCCTTATTCCGCTATCAATTAAAAAACTTGACTTGAAGGGCGCATTGTGGAGATTTCCTTGCAAGAACATATTTCTAGGGTAAGAACGTACCTCGGCCACTTGGAGATTTTAGGCCTGAAATCTTTTTACACTGAGAAATTTATTGAAATTTGAGATGCCTTAGAAAGCGCAAGAAAAGCACTTTCTAATGATACTACCAATACCGCATTAGATATGGAATTCTCTTCGAACAGCTGCCTCAAACATAAGGCGAAAAAAATCGGACAGAACTTATGCAACAACCTAATACATCATTTATAGAGATATCATGCATCCCCCAGAAATGTTCCCATACGAAACACCAATGGCTGTCATTCTGTTTTTCGATCGTTTTAACTCAATAATTCCAACAAGTATAAGGCGCTCATTTGAAATTGACATGTTAAAATGACCGAAAGACAGTAACGTTGTCTTGGCATATACTCCAAGTGAAAACATTCGCTTAAACCTGTATACTTCTAACAACTGTAAAATAAAGCAAAAATATATGGCTGAACATCTGGGCAGCCAACAAACACGGTAACTGTCGATATTGTCGATGCAAAGCGGATATCGAAAAATCGCAGCGCTTGTCCATGGGTATAAGACGTTGCAATCTGTAGATGCAGGGTAATCTTTTGTAGTTCGCAATGATGCATATCTGTGGACTTTTACCGCAATATGCAATTTAAAATAAAAATAATGATTCTGACTCTCGGTTTAGTTATAAATATAGGTTAGATCAAAGGCTTTGTCGCTTTTCACATAGGTGCAATAGGGGGAGCAGCCCCGCCAGGAAGGGGTTTCAGCTATTTTTGACCTAAGAAGTGAAAGGGGTAACCGAGTAATTGAGCCTTGAGGTAAATGCTGCCGAGTGGGAACGGGATGTGCAAAGAGGAAAAACAAGTGGTGCAGAGGCGTGATTCGAAATTTTTTTTTCAACGCTTTGGTTTCGAAGGGTTGTCGAGCACAGGGCCTGGCACGAGGTAGGCAAATGACAAGCTGGAAATCGTTGTGGGTGAGAAAACGATGGGTATGTCGTTTTTGCGGGCTCCGGGTTGAGCTCCGGGAGAAAATCTATGGTTGAAATGGCAAATCATACGGGGTCTATGCACTAAACCTGTTTTCTAATTCCTCATAATTAGCAAGTGGAGATGTGAATTAAAATGGCTCATTTGCAAGGCACATGCGACGATATGGTAAAAATTGGCACATACATGGCCACGGGCCCAGGGGTTGATTCAGAAGTTCCATGGAAAAAAATTACGTGACTTAAGATGTGGCAAGCTTTTTTCTGAAAATTTCCACTACCACAGAATGAAAATAATTCGTTTGCACGCACAGATGGCGATGTGGCACGAAATTTGGTTTGTGTATCCGCAGTGGGATCAAGGAACTAAGTATGAAAGATATGAAAACTTTTGTGAATAAAGAGCATGCTTAACTTCTTCCCAAATTAGATGGGCAATTGCCCACCTAATGTCCACGTGAAGTAGGTAAAACTCTTACATCACGTAACAGTTTTTCAAAACTTCTACGTAATTTGTTTTACACCTAAAGAGTATTTGAAATTCTGGTCCCAAAACTCCTCCACTCCTTGTTAGGACCCGGAATAGCAAAGTCGCGGGGGGGGGGGAGGCGTATCGTTACGTGCGGGCTTCCTATTAGCAAACGTCGCGCGCGACAAGCTGTCAGTGACCAGACTCGAGGAATTCAGCTAGCATGATCCGCAGCAGATAGTTTTTCAGTTTCTCATTTCTTGTTGAGGTTCACAGACTACTCCCATATTAGTTTTGCCTAATTATTTGGCCTTGGGCCTTTCGAGGAAGAAAGTGCACTCCAATCGAACAGCCTATGCAGCTGGCGGGATCAAGCGGGAAATTGTGAAATTCGATAGCGGCAAAGGCGAAGTCGTCCACGTCCATTTGCCATCCTTATGCTGGTCCCTGATCGAGCAGAGACTTAGGAGACATCAATCTTTCTGACATTTGAAACTGCTTAGATTTGACTTTGATAAGACTTAATTCTTCGCGATTATCTGAAAGCCACCTTCTCAGAGAATTACAGAGGGTAGGCCATGCGATTTTTTGGCAAGTGGGCAAATAGTTCACTGATTTCTTCTAATCCGCTTGCAGATATTTGGAATGTTAAGCATTTTTTTGAGCGAACGTGTTGAATTATTCATGGATTAGTTGCGGCACAGTGATGACCGCATTTTCGTGGACTTTCGGCGAGAATATTCAAAAGTTGAGGGTTGTACGGTCCTTTGTGAAAAACCACGCAGTCCGTAGGTACCTACCGTTGAGAAAAGGTACCCAAACTCGGGTAATTAGACCATCGATTATTGCTCTGCCACATAGAAACCCATCTTCACTCGGAGCACGCCAGAAACTGCGTAAAGAGAGTCCGAGCGCCTGCTGAAACTTTGGCCAGCGCTTGCTGAAAGAAATTAACTGACAACGCTCTCAGAAAATTCTGTATTACTGCCCGCTGGCAGAACACGGAAGTACCGTGTTCTGGTTCCGGAAGGTTTGCCCGCGTCTCAAAATTTTGCTGACCGCTTGCAGAAAAGCGCGAGTTTGCGGACCGCTTGTCCCGGCGATTATCTGAGTTGTAAAGCTTGCTCCATTGATTGGTAATCCATGACATTCCAAATTGTAATGCGACGGAACTTTCGGCTTACCTAATAGAGTGATGAATTTTGTACCATGCCTCCATAACCACATCAACATATAGGATTAGACATGGGAATTTGCAGCCCAAAATAATGATGGAAAGATTATAGAAACTTTTGTGCGCTTTTTAAAAAATATATAATTCCTGGATTTTAGATGTTTAGAGTATTTGGCGAGAGGAATTGCTAAACATTCCCAATGGACAGATTTTCATGGTGTGGAAGCCCTATAACGTGTAGATGAACTGCTGGAAAAACACAAGCGTCATCGGGACATCCTTGTTCTTCGCTTCCAGCAAAATTTATTCAAGCGTTCCAAAAATTCGCCCTCTTTTTTATCGTGGGGCACATCCCGCAAACAGGCTTCTTGGATTTCACACTTGATGAAGCTTTTCATTTTCTCCCAAATAATCAAGCATACGTTATTTAACCAACGATTTTTCAGAAAATAGAGTATTCTGCAGTTCGTGGTTTCGCCACGATCAAGTTTGAAGTTTTTCTAAATTTTTCTGCTGCTACCATTTTCTCTGTTACTTTTCTGCACTTTGCAAGTCATTGTTGCAAAATTGCTGACATTTGTGTTTAAAAAATGGGTGATTACGTTTAGACCTCAAAGTTTTCAGTGACGAAACTTCTAACACCTGACTATGTTGTATCCGTTGCGATAAATTCAAACTTGATTCGCCTCAAAAATACTTTTTTATACATCGGATTGTTAAATTACGAGCAATGTTGCTTCGTCTTTCAATCTTGCTAAAGTTAAACAAGCCTGCTGTTGTCCATTTCACAAAACTTCCATATACTGCTGGACAGAAACTTACAAGAGAACCGTGTCGAGTCGAAGTGGCCTTTCCAGATGAGACCCATACTGCTTTGAAGAGTATTAAGCGCTGATTCCAAATCTGCCTTCCAAATCTGCCAGGCGCCTCTGGACGCCGACTTATGACCGTTCTTCGGAACGAAAAATGAATGCAGAATTTAGGTAGAATTGATTGTTACAATCTTTCCAGCGCTCAGATAAAGCAAGATTAAGTATTAGCATAATAAATAAAATGTATCCATTGCATAAACAGTTTTGATACTTAACATTGGACCATTTCAGCAAATTTGAGCGATTTTGCTTCAGTTTTGCCTTCAATTTTTTGACCTGAAAAACGAGCATAACTCGGCGTCCAGAGGCGCTTGGCAGATTTGGAGAGCAGATTTGGAATCACCGATTAATGCTCTTCAAAGCAGTATGGGTCCCATCTGAAAAGGCCACTTCGACTTGACACGGTTCCTTTGTTAGATACCAATTAGAGGATCTAGATTGTTATCAAATTTTTATGTCTAAACTTTTAATGTCATAAGAAAGTTTCAAAATGTTTACCAACGTAGTTTGTAGACACATGGTACTCATCAATTACTGCTCATCAATTACGCAATGAGTAGTTTACTGCACAAAATTGAATTACTTCTCAAAACGATAACAATGCGACAAGTAAGGGAGTACCAGAATTTCGGTTTTATGAATCGCTTTTGAAATTTCAAAACTATGAGAGCAGAAAAAGCAAATACTAACCTTCAAAAGGGAACAGCTGACAGTTATATATCAGGAGTAAAAAACATCTACGCCGACCTATTCGTTTATGATGATGTTATTAATGTGGGAACGTCTTTCATATATCTGTTCTTCGACTCAGCAGTAATGATCCTACTGGCCATCCTTGTGGATTTCAAGCTACACACGCGTAATGTTCCTTGTTGCGACAGAATGCTGCAACACGATGAAAGCGTGAGTATTCTAGATTATTTTTGCAACTGATTGAGTATCAATGCAATATCAAGGTCCCCAATGTTACCAGAACTTATCGCGAATCTTGGCACGAGAAGATTGCCTTAACAGCTGAACCTGTGCTATCTGTGGAATCCGTGAGCAAAGTCTGGAGAAACACTGGCGAAATTGCTGTAAACAACGTTACTTTGAAAGCTTACGGCGAACAGGTAAACCTGTTCAAAATCTTTTCACGACTGTCGTGGTAATGAGCATTCCGGCAAGATGGAGGGGGGAAAGTGTGTTGTGTAATGCTTAGGATTTGAGCAGTATCATTAGCATCTGGCATACTAGAATAATACAAAGCTCAGAGTAACTGGAACAGAGTTGAGCTGGATGTCGTTTTTGAGAGAAGCAAAGAGGATATCGTTTCACGGGCTAATATGCCGCTTTTTGTTGCACGCATGTTACCCGCACAGGGTCCGGCATGAGGTGGGCAGATGTCAAGCTGGAGGTAATTTTGGATGGAAAGCAGATGGAATGTCTCAAATATATGTCTACGTATGCAACACCCTCTCGACAAGTGCTCCACGACTTATATGCAAACACACGATCTTGCCGCTCGTTTTTTTTCATTAAGTTATAAGTTATCTTAATCACAACGCACACAGAATGGCTAAGATTTCAAAATACGGACATGGATTGGATGAGCAGAGTGCAGAGTATTGTTGAAAATTATATGACTGGAGATTGTGGCAGGCTTTTTTCCGAAAATTTCCACTATCACAGAATGACAAAATGGTTTGTTTGCAACGCACAGATTGCCGATATGGCACCGTTGCTGTGTGTGCGCGCAGTTAGACGAACAAAATTCAAAAGATTATGAAAAATTATGTGAATAAAGGAGTGCTTAACTTTTTCTAAAAATAGGTGGGCAGTTGTCCACCTAAATGCAAACCTGAGGTAGGCGAAACTTTCATTCACATAAGTTTTCGAAATCTTATATATTAGGTCTTCCGAATGTAATGTCGCCGCTTTTTTCAAACGAACGCCACATCTCGTGGAACAGAGATGTGAAGAGGTTCTGGTAGCGTTTTATGCAGGATTTCATTCTTTTTCTAAGGTTATATAAACACTGCACATAATCTAATAACCTTTCGAAAAATTATCAAAATCTGCGACCCATGCTTTTTGAGAAGGCCAAGTTTCACAATTTTTCTAATTTTTTATAACAACACTCGGAAGGAGCCCAGGTAATGGACAGATAGAGCAAATCCTACAGGAAACAGCACAACTTTTTCCTACTTTTTAGAACTCGTCATAATTTTTGTATAGATTTTGATGAAACCACCGAATTTTAGCAGACTCGTCTTAGACACAAATGCATCAAACACCAATAAATGTTCGGTTTTGAAACTTACAAAAATGAGTTACGGCTTGACGCTATTTCTACAAAGCAATTGAGTATTCACCGCTTCAGATTAGCATCTTTCGAAAATTCCGGGTACAGCCTGGGGTGCCTTGGAAAACTGAATCATGATGATTTTATCCCAGAAAACTTGATAATCGGAAACAAAAAACAGCTGGTAGAAAGAGGAGAAAAAGCTGCGTCGAATGACACTCGAGTTGCTTGTCGGTTGTTGTTCTGTGAGGTTTGAGTTGACCAAATATGGAATTTGATGGCATTAAAAAATTGGTCCCAGAAACTCTAAGTAGCAAGCTAAGAAAAAGAAAAAAAGTATCCTGTGTCCTATAGGATTTGCTCTATCTACCTGTTAATTGTACTTCTTCGAAGAATAGGTACAAAAATTTAAAAAAAATAGCCGAACCTGACCATGGCAAAAAGCATGAGTCGCAGATTCTGGCAATTTTTTGAGAGCTTATCAGATATTATGCAATGAAATTACAATCATTAGGAAAAGCATGAAGTATTGCATCGAATGCTCCTAAGAAGTCATGAAAATCTTAATTTTATGAAAAGTGGCGTTCATTTGAAAAAAGCGACATTACTTTTGGAACGACCTAATACAAAGCTGAATGTCTGTATATATTAGGTTGGTGCAGAAGTTTTGTCATTTTTTTGAACCCATCGGCAAACACGCTAGAATGAAGATAAGCTGAACACGTTGAAATGTATCCTATGTAGAATTTCTTCCTCTTTCCAGCTGCCAAACTCCCATTGTGTTTCGTTGCAGAGGTGACGAGATATTAGCTGGAATTTGCAACCATTCGTTCTTACCATGTCCAACTTTCATTAATTTTCAAAACTTTTGTATGAGACGTTCGAAGGAGCCCTAATAACCACCAGATAGGGCAGACCTTTTGCCAACTTATGCAATTTTTTCTTTGTTTCAGCTGCTTTTTCAGATTTTTGTCAAATAATTTTCTAAAAGTCTTGTGTTTCGGAAAAATTGCGTAACCTGTTATTGCACCAAACACTGCGAAATCTACAGAATACTGAGGTTTCAACACTCGATTATTACTACCGCTACCATTTCGAAGTAAGGTTTTTGCTTTAAATTATGAAGATTTTGAAACATAGGTTACGTCAGTGCGCATTCCTAAAATTGAGAAATATTGCGATTTTCCCCACATATTTCACCTGTCTCGGCAAAAAAGTCAAGTACAAGAAGGAGGGAAAAAGTTGCATCTAATGGTGGCTGAAGTGTTCAACATTTTATGTTCTATCAGATTAAAATAGGCTGAATGTAAAATTTGGTTACTTCAGAAAATAAATCGTAGAAATTCTGAAAGACAAGCCGAAAGGCTACAAAAAATTGCTTCTGTTGGCAAAAGGTTTGCCCTATCTGCTGGTTCTTATGGCTCCTCCATAAGTCTCATACAAAAATTTTGAAAATTAGCGAAAGTTGGACATGGTAAAAACAGGTGGTTGTAATTCCCAGCAAATATCTCGTCAACTCTGCAACGAAACACAATGGGAGTTTAGCAACTGGAAAGAGGAAGAAATTCTGCATCGGACACATTTTGAAGCGTTTGTTTATCTTCATTCGAGCGTGTTTGCCGATGGATTGGAAAAACTGAAAAAACTTTTGCACCGACCTAATATGTATGTCTGTATGTCTGTGTGTACGTATGTGTGGAATACAAATTTTATTTTTGGACCGATCTGGACCAAATTTGGCACACATACACTTCGGGCCCCGGCGGGTGTGAGTCATAGGCTACTTTTCGTCATCGATCGATATCAATTTTATTGATTTTATCGATTATTTGCAAAGTTTGAGCTACAGGGCTGGGAGATGGCAAGGGACGTAGGTGGGCTGGCGATTTATTAGGTTGTCAAGAAAATAATGTCCGTTTTTATTTGCTTGCTTTAACAAAGCAACCAGACTGAACCCAACAAAGGATAAGGGGTACTGTTCGATAGAGCAAAGCAAGCTCTAGAAGATGGCACTCATGTCTTTGCGCCATGCTCGATCCACGGAGAGTTCGAACTCAAAATCTAAAGATTTCCAAATGCCCAAAAAATCGAAAAAAATCAGATCTTCGTCCAGATAATTTCTACGGACCTCCCACTCGCTCATATCAATACTATCGATATCTGATATCCATATGTGCGATTGGCGTATTTTTTCCTTGACTAGAAACTGAAAAAACGAAAATTTCCCTGATTTTCTCAAAGCAATGCTGAGCCTTTTCTGCAAGTGTGGTTCTATACTATAAGCCTAGGTAAGTATAACTGTAGATTTTCAGCCCATTCCAAGCGGTAGTTTTCGAAAAATAACGAATTCGGATTTTTTCGTTTCAGTTTCAGTGCTAAAATCGACATTTCTCAAAAAGTACCGCTCGAAATAGGCTGAAAACCTACAGTTATGCTTACCTAGGCTTGTAGTATAAAACTACATATGCAGAAACGGCTCAGCATTGCTTTGAGAAAATCAGGGAAATTTTTGTTTTCTTAGTTTCTAACCAAGGAAAAAATACGGCAGTCGCACACATGGATATCTGATATCGATAGTATTGATATGAGCGAGTGGGAGGTCCGTAGAAATTATCTGGACGAAGATCTGATTTTTTTCGATTTTTTGGGCATTTGGAAATCTTTAGATTTTGAGTTCGAACTCTCAGTGAATCGAGCTTGGCGCAAAGACATGATTGCCATCTTGTAAAGCTGCTTTGCTCTATCGAACAGTACCCCTTACTCTTTGTTGGGTTCAGTCTGGTTGCTTTGTTAAAGCAAGCAAATAAAAACGGACATTTTTCTTGACAACCTAATAGAATGCAATATTAGTTATCAGAATTATCGATTACTTTCATCGATTTTGCCAATTTTTTAATTGTTTTCCAAAATTTAAGCTGAAGGGTTGGGAGCAGGGTCAAGCGTGTTGATGCAATTCTAGACCCTCTTCTACGACCCCCCCCCAAAGGTACCTATCCGTACGGACCCCTCTCCTCACCTACCCCCCCCCCCTCCACGTCCCACCTATCCCCGCCCCTTCCACCTACCCCTTTCACTTTCTTTTGCAGTGACATGCATAAATGAATGCCAATCTCAAAAGATGCCTGCCAGTGGACCTCAATCAAAATTACAGATCAGAAATAAATAACTACTAACAAATGGGAAAATAATGCAAGTAATGACAAATAATTCTGCGTAGATTGGGTAAGTAGTAAAATTCCACGAAGATTTGGCTATATTTTATGTGTTTGGGAAAATATGAATGGAAAAGACATTATCTGACAAAGCATAGGTGCGATAATGTGAAAATTTGCTCACCCCCTCTTCACCCCTGAACCGGGACCCTTCACCAAAAGCCGAGAAAAAATCGACAGTGAGGTAAGGCTAAGTAAAGGAGATATTTGTACGGGAATTGTTTTTGTATGGGAAAGGAGGAAGAAGATTTATAGGTATGCATGAACTCCCAGAAGGAAAAAAATACAGTGCTGGCCATAGCTATAAAGCCACCCTAAAAATCACCGTAATTTACTCTCTCTTGCTCATAATTGTCTGAAAAACCACTATTTTGTGCGCAAACTAACGTCACACCATTGACCAGAACGGCTCCCGATTTCATTTGATTTTGGCCGGAGAAAAACTGAAAATTTGAAAAAAGGGGTTCCCAGGGCTGGTCACAGCTATAAAGCCACCTCTCATTTCCAATCAATACTACGTTTTTTGAGGCTGAAATTTTTTGTACATATACAATATCAAAATATAAGACATTTAC